TCTTTCCAACCAAGAGAAATATTCAACAGACTATAGTGGAGCAGGATGGGGCAGAGCCTTCTGGAAAGGAACCGAGGGGTTACTTACCTGCACTGGGGAATTATTAAAACAATGCTGGTCCTACAGACTTTTTAATTTTGGTGTAAGTACCTCTAGAACACAGCTCTGGAGATTCTTCTAGGGAGCAGTGTAGCCTTTCTTCCTCAGAGGTACATACATTGCAAGTAGGAATATAATGAGGTCACTAAAAGAATGAAATCTTCAGCTCCTTTTTTTTCAGGCACCTTCTACAGGAAGAAATCCAATAAAAACCAAACCTTGAAAGGACTGGGTGTGTCTCTAAAATTAGCTTTGCATGCTGTTGTAACAAAGGTCAGCAAATGGCACTTATGGCTAAAGTGACAAAGTTTCAAATGTTTTAACAGTTCTTCACATTCACATGGCTTAACTGAAAATGTTGGCAGATATTCTCAAAATTCCAAGAAGCTGTTACAAAATAAGTATTTGGAATACAAAGTTGTAAGTTGAATATTTCAAATGTGAAATCTGAAAATACAACTGACAGGTGGCGTGGCAGTCAATGTTGATGGTTTTCTGAAGGTGGGTGCAGATGCTGAAAGTGCTTTTTAAGGTAGTGCTGCTAGGTTTCAGAATTTGGTGTCTCAGGATAGCCGAGGAAGGATTTCATCCCATATAAAAGCCACAAGTATTGTACCTGAAAGAGGAATTACAGAAAGGACCTTTATTTAAATGTATTTGAGAAGCACACAGTACTGGCATTGAAAATAAACATTGTCTTTGTTTATTTTAATTTGTTTGACCAGGTGAATCCAACACGTGCACCTTCCTGCTGCTGTCAGGCCTGTGTTCTTTGCAGCTGGGTGTGGAAACACCTGAACCAGCAGCAAAACCTCTGCTCCTCAGCGGCCAGGACAAGGCTGAGTTTGCTCACAGGGTCTGTTCTGACACCCACACCAGGTTTAGGTGCTGCAAGCAGGTGTGTCATCAAGTTACAGATTTGGTTTGGGTTGGAAACGACCTTCAAGATCATCTAGTTCCAAACCCCCCACCATGGGCAGGGACACCTCCCACTAGACCAGGTTGCTCAGAGCCCCATCCTCCCTGGCCTTGAAGACTTCCAGGGATGGAGCTGCCACAACTTCTCTGGTGCCAATGCCTCACCACCCTCAAAGAACTTTGTCCTTATATCTAACCTAAATCTCCCCTTTCAGTTTAAAGACATTACCCCTCATCCTATTACTACATATCCATGTAAAAATAGTTCCTCTACACAGTGCAGTGGTTTGGGATGATTGTTTGTTTTGAGGATCATTCTAGTTTAGGGTTTATTCTGAGGCTGAAAATTGGTAGAGATTGTAGTTCCTTCATGAGAATCACAGAATATTTCAGGTTGAAAGACATAGAATATCTGAAGTTGAAGGGGACCCATAAGGATGACTTGAGTCCAAAGAAAGGCACCTAAATACAATTTATTGATTTTTTTTTTTTCTCTCTTGGAAAAAAATCAATATATTCTGTTTCAGAAATGAAGAAGATTCTGGCTGACAGCAATCATCACCCAGAGCTTGCATTTTATGAAGCTTCCTAGATCACAAAAATGCTTACTGGAAGGAACCCTCTCTAGTCAGGACTGTTGCCTATGCTCGGTAGGTCAGTGTGGCTTTATCCGGCTGAGTGCCACAGACCTCCACGGATGGAGACTATAGCACTTCTCCAGTAACTTATGTAAATGTTGCTGCACCCTTCTCCTCAAGGTTTTCCTTGCTGTTACATTGTCTGCCACTAAAAAGAGTTAATCTGTCATCTTCGTAACCACTCTTCAAGTAACAGTTGACAGCTCTTAAATAATCCTTTCACTTCATCCTTGCCAGCCTAAACAAGTCCAGTTCCCTCAAAGATCAGGTACTCCAGGCCTTTCACCACCTTGGCAGTCCCTCTGTTTTCTCCACAGTCCTCTGGAACTGGGGGACGCCAGACCAGACATGTTCCAGATGCCACCTCACAAGCACTGAGTAAAGGCAGATGATGATGTCCAATGATGTGTTGACCCCACCTCTCTCAATCGTGAGGTCTGTCTCACAGAGAAAACAACAAACAATTGTAACAAATTCAGAGTCAGGTCACTGTTGAACATCCTGAGGACTATCAACTCCAGCACTGACACCAGGGTATTCTGCATCTTATTGGCCATCAGCCAGATGTCCACCTGTTGATTCTTCCATTTTGAGGTCAGTGCTCTAGCCAGTTTTCATTCCATTTAACAGTCTTTTTGTGTGATCCCTGATTCTTTGACTTTGAACCAAGAATGCTGTGGGAGATGGTGTCAAGAGCCTTACTGAAGTAGAAGACACGACCTAGGCTGCTCCGCCCTCATTCCCCGACATTCATTCCATCACCGAGGGCAGTCACACGGGCCGGGCACGGGCTGCCCTCGCGAAACCTGTGCTGACAGTTGCTGATGGCCTTTGTGGTTTTTACATGGCAGGAAGTGGATTCCAAGATTAGCTATTCCACCATCTTCCAACTAGCTTATAGTTCCCCAGCTTCTCTTCCTTCTCCTCCTTTTAAGGAGGCAGGCATGGTATTAGCACATTCCCAAGTGTCAGGAACCTCCTCCAACTGCTGTAATGTCTCATAAATGATGGACAAGCACATTGCCCAACTCTTCCAGCACTTTCAGGTGGATCCCAGTGGAGCCAATGGATTTGCATTCATCGAGCTTCTCTGTGTTGTTCCTAGCCTGTGGCTCCCCCACTATTTATTGCCTCCTTTCCAAAACCTTGCTGTTCTACACAGAGGTTTAGTAGCAAATTTTGCTTGGAAGATTGGGGGGAAAAAAACAAACAAACAAACAACAAAGACCTGGCATAGCTCAGCCTTTTCCATGTCATCCATCACTAGGTTGTCTTCCCCCATCTGCCAAGGGACCTGCATTTTCTCTGGACATTTTTTGTAACTCTGGATGTCTCAAGTATAAGTTCCAGCTGAGCTTGGACCTTCCTGATTTTGTTCTTAAGTGCCTGTGCAAAGCTTTTACACTCCTCCTTTGCTGCCTGTCCCTGTTTGTACTCCTGACATGCTCTCCTTTGTTCATAGGGAAGCTCCTCATCTAGCCAGCAGGGAAAGGCTTTGCGTCAAAATTCCCACTCTAACTACACAACAGATTCTTCCTGCACATCCAAATGTGCTAACTGAGCTCTCAGTAAGCTTTTTTCAAAAACCACCTGCCACGGGATACTTGTGCCATTTGTGGCAGCTTCTGAGGGAATTCATGCTGACCTTGCAGTCCCCTGAACAAACACTATTTGGTTCTCCTGAAGTCCAAAGTCTGAACAGCTCTGCTCTTTACCTTCCCAGTCTTTCTCCAGACCCTGAACTCTCGTGAGAACTACAACCCAAGTGGCCACACTCATCACTAGTTCTTCCCTGGTTGTGAGCAGGTCAAGCACAGGATTACCAGTCACTGGCCCATTCGTATTTAAACTAGACTCAATCAGTGAGAGTTTTCTAGGAACATCCTGGATTGCATTCACTCACTACATGAGAGTTGCTCTGCCAGATGATGTATCCATGGCTGAAAACCCCTAGGAGGACCAGGGTCTAGGAGCAGAAGGCTTCTTTGTTGAAATTCTCCTTTATTATCAAGCCCCCAAGATGCTGATTGCTCCACTGCATGTGGGCTTGCAATTCTTTCTGTGCTAAGCTCCATAGTTAAGTACTGAACTTGATGGAAACCTAGGAAATCCTTCTCTTCTAAACTGAAAGGAAGCAGAGCATCCCAAGGATTTACATTTTAACAGCTGCTTGGTTTGGAGTTCTCTCCCTTTTAAATTAAGAGACAGCACTCAGTATGTTCCGTATGCCAACTAACGATAAACCACTGTTTATGAATTTTCACAGAAATGTAACTTTACTCCCTAACTTCATTCTAAATTCCTCAAGTCATGGCTCCATTTGTGTTAACATCTGCTGATGTTCTTACTCGAGTTGAAATCCCCTGAAGGTTTTCTGCACAGCAGTTCTGCAGGGTGCATCTTGCTACATAAGCAGAATAATGTGTTTCAGAATGCCTCTTGTTTCTGTAGATCACTCACCAAAATATTAAATCTGAAGTACTTACAACGTGGAAAATCTCAGAATGCTTAGTGGGTCAGTTAATGTAACAGAAAGCTAAACTTGAATGCTGAGAAATATCAGTGATATTTCAGCAGCTCAGCAGCTTTACCTTAGACATTTCATCAGCTACTAACTGGAATGGTGCACAGGCTTTCATCCAGCTGACTCCACTGTTCAGTCATCCTGTGTGTATAGTATATCTAATTTAACCAAACTGCATTAAAGTGAATATTAGTTAGACTAAAAATTCTGTCTCCATTTTTGACTGAGTCAGTGCAAGTAGAACATGCACAGCCATAAACCCAAACAAGAAAAAGAAGTTATTTGTTCTAACTGGAGCTCTTTGAGGTGTTTCCTGTGTAAATTTCACACGCTGTTGTACCTTCACCACTGTTGCACCTTCTAATGGGATTAAGAGTCATGAAAGAATTTGGGATTAGCAGACTGCTTCTTTATATACCCTCTAAGCAGAAGGCTCCAGATTTGTAGGGACTAACTGTAAACAAGCAACAGCATGAAGTATTGCACAGAGCACTTTCATCTGCACACAACTAGAAGTTAAAATTAACAGCTTCCAAATTAAAACCATAACTTAATCTAGGAATATTCCAGGTACTAATATTTTGTATTCTTAATCTAAAACCAGACTGTTTCCAATGGTGATTGGGGCAAAAACATAGAATGGGAACTGCGAAGTTTAGACACTATGGAGATTAAAAAGGATTTAATATTATAATAGTAATGACTGAGAAAACATATTTTAAGCACTTGCCCTAATACCTGTGGGTTTCTTGTGTTTTTTTTTTTTTCTTTGTGGTTTTATTTGATTGTTTTTAAATTAATTATCCCAATGTTCTTGCCCTGTCACAAAGCAAGAAAGAAGGTGCACACTAACAAGTATGTTTCTCTTTTTGAACTTGGTCAGGCTAATATTTACTTTCTGGTAGCCTCTTCTCCTTTTGAATCTTCTGCTAGAAACTACAAATGGGCCTTTGGTCAGTGTGAGAATTTGCAGGAACCCAAAGCATCCCAAAAGCATCTAAACTCGGAACATGACATCTTAATGAAACAATTATATAACTTAACATGGCTGTTTCCTGAGAAAAAAAGTAATCATATTTAATGAATGAAACTGGTGTTTAAAACTCAGTATTAGTATTTACTAATACTAGTTTAAAACTTAGTATTAGATACCTGAACAGTGTTACAGGTGCTCTGCAAAGAACATTAAACAAGTTTAAAATATGTAGCTTACATCTGCAACACAAACCCATGATTCTGAATGACTATTCTACACAGTGAATTATAATTCACCATATCCTGAATTTTAAAACGGAAAACGAGCAGGCTATCAAATAAAGAATAGCTCTTTTTTGAACTATGTACTAAATGACACTTTCTTGAATACATAAAGCATTAAGAACTTACCTAAGGATGGTGCTATCCAATACACCAGTGAATAACTCAAAAATTTGTCGTAGAAACAATTTGCATGCAATGAAAAAGCCAGTGCTGGGTTAAATATTGCTCCTGTGAGATTTCCACCTGCAACAAAGTGTAAACAATATGAAATGAAAATATTTTCATATTTCTTTTGAATGAATATTGAAATGCACATACACAATACTACAAGGAGTGTATGCCCCACAATAAAATTAATTACCAGAAATTATTTGAACAGATAAACTCTTCTGAAGTTATTTACCTGATGATACATTTGGCAGTTTAACTGTTTTCTAAAATGCTTTAAAATAAGTGTAGGCTATAACTTCCTTTCTCTCTTTCTAGCAAACATTCTTTGAAGAGATGGTTTGGCTAATGTTGAATGTTTCTGTTGATAAATAAGCTGCTTTGCTAATAGCCCACATCAGGCTTTTAGAAGAGACTGAAACTGCACAAATACTAATAAACAAATACTGAGGTTTCATTACACCCCCGTGTCACAGAGAACACAGATGCAAGGTAATGGAAAAAAAAAAAACAAAAACCTGTCAAGTGCTGTTGTTGCTAAGCTGACCTCTGTACTTCTTGATAGAGCACTAATATTATCAGTTTACAGAACACAAAGATTATCATGTGGTAATAACTTGGGGAAAAGGCTTCACAAGCTTTCTACACGTTATCTGAAGAAAATAAAAGCAAACCTCACTCCCCTCTCTTGGAAAAGGAAGCGTAAGGAAGCCAAGCACCTTTCCTTGCCTCTGACTCGAGATGTAGATGAAGTTGCCTGAGCACACTCTAAATAACAAGATACAAATGTGTTACACTGTGGGGACTAAACTGTAACTGCACTGGAGATGAACCCGGGAGTGGGTTTAATTCTGACCCGTGTTGTTCCTCTCACCGCAATCCTGAGCAAAAAGCATTGCTCAGAAAATTTATCTGTATTTCTGCACTGTTAGTTACTAACTGCCCCACATCTGTGTTATCTATTAACTTAATGCCATAAAATATTAGAGGTTTTTGGCTATTTGATTTCTTAAAGCTTATTCTTGATTTCCTCTAAAGCCAGCATGAGCTTTGGACTTAGCCTTTGTACAACCAGCATGCTGCTGCAATCACCATTTGTTATGAGTGTGCAAATCACCAACCAAAAGTTTGTCATTCCCTTCTTTATTTATTTTTCTATATGCTCCTTATTATTTCTTTGGCCATCATTACAGTTCAGGAAGGTTTTAATCTTTGTTGAACTACACAGTTTACTCTGGTTTTACACTTTTTTTGAACAGTGTCTCAGATTTACTCTGCAGTCTGTTATTCTGCACGTTGGCACATTAACAACTTCCACTGATGCCAGGAAGGCCATCTACAATAATTTACTTTGCTCTAATCTGTTTATGAATTGACTCATTGAATTGTCTGCTTCTGCTTTTATATCCACAAACATACATTTAAGAGTAGGATTTCGCTTTCAGGATACAGTTGCTCTTTCTGAAAATTAAACATTAGCCAGAGTTTTGACTGCTGTATTTCTTCAATATTCATTACTAATAACTACTGGAATATCAGCCATAAGCCAGGGCCACTAATATAATCCTGTTTTTAAATATTAATTAAACATCTTAGTCTGTGTGCCAGAAAAATGAATTTATGGCAAAAGAAGCATAACATCTTTGATACTGTATACATAAACACTTAAAAAGGTGAAGTAATGTGTGCTCTACACAACATGCGAGAAAGTAGTTGTAACTTTTGAAATTACTTAAGGCAAATGCAAAATTAGGAAGAAGCTTGGAATTAAAAATATGCATGCCATTTTTATCTTGATATATTAGGCTCAGAAAGATCTAACCCATTTCATACAACTCTGACTTCATTATGATATTGCCTGTAAATGAAAAAGCCCTCAGGTGTATTTTTTTCCTTCCCCTACTTAAATATTTTCCCAAAGGAAATAACCAAAATATTCTTTACCAAAGACATAATGTTTGCCTTTTCCTTCTTTTTAGTAGAAGAACTGGAGTCAAATGCAGGATTGGAGCTTTTATGTACAGTATGTGTGCTACTATCAAAATTTGGTCAGTGTAAGACTAAATGTAAAAAAAAAAACCCAAATATTTTTAACATTGAAAAAGTAGAAGAGCAACTAAAAGAACAGCTTGGGATTTTGAAAACACTGTATGATCTGATGTTGTTTGTTAAGAGTAAGTTGCAGGGCATACCTACGTAACCTTTACATGCAACAGGGACCTATCAACATTCATTTTTTCCAACAAATTCTTGTAGCCAACAGTATAAATACAACTGTATGCTGTGTGTGTGCATCAACACATTCAGATGGGTGTAAGCCACGGTGGTACGGTGCTCTGTCAAAATTTTACCCAAACCAAACTGGAATATGAGATATTTCTTCTTACAGACCTTTTTAAGACAGTAATAATTCCTCTTGCACTCAAGTTCCCTATAAAGAGTTAATGCAAGGGTGCAGGAGATTTCTTGAGAATGACCCAGCCCAGCTAAGTTAACAACCTGCTTGTCTTCAGAGCCTGTAGAGAACTTGGCCACGTGGCTAGGGCTACACCATGACACCCAGGGGATAATATGTGCACCAGACACTGGCCATGGCCACCTACCAGGCCCTTTGCAATTGCCTTGGCTACTTGTCATGCTGTCAGGAGGCTGCACTGATGGCTGTGAGAAGTGAGTCCCCCGGTCAGGAGCCTTGACTCAAAACAGAGAGGGCAGCAGAATGGGGGACACCCTGGAGAATGTTTGTGTGTAGACGTGGGCAGAGGGAAATTTTTGGAGAACCTCTAAAGTGTCCTCCCTAACCTTCCACTGCAGAAGAAATCTGTTGCAGTGCAAGCCTGTAACTTCATCACAGCAATAAAGAAATAGCAGCAGCCTGCTCCCACACTCCTTGTGTAACAGCTCAGTGACAGGAACCTCGGGGTTTCCACACTCCTCTACTTCAGGAGGCTTCAATCCACATCTTAGGGAAGCACAGGGCTCCTGGCTACTGCAGGGGCAGGCTGCCACTCCTCACCTTTCCTTCTGACCTGACTTCAGCCAAGAGTGCAACGCTTAGGAGGCTGGGAGCAAAGTGAAGAAGAAAGAACTAGATTTTCCACAAAGCAGGAGATAAAATTACACTCAGGATCTGCTGCCCAGATTTTTTTTTTTTTTTTCTTACAGTAGACTTGTTTCTAGATTAAAAGAAAAGGAAAGAAAAAAGTCTAGATGGCAGAGGGTGTTCTGCACAGACACAGACCTGCTGTGCATGTGCAGGAGACCTGGGTCTGGTGTTTCCTGGAGGGATATGCAGATTGATGGCACTGGCTACCTGTAACAAGCCCAAGGGTACACCGAGGAAGGGGGCTTGATACAAGGCTTCTCCTTCTAGAAAAAGAAGGAGAGGAGGCCAGCCTGGCCAAGGACAGGGGCCACGAACACTTGGTATGAACTAGCAAAAAGAAAGGCAACATGACACCTATGATTTTATATCACTATTTGCTAAGCAGCAAAAGAATGTTAAGAATCAGGAATCCAGCTTTTTGTGCTTGTAGAAGAAGAGGGATAATCTTTGGCTACATTTTTACTGAGCCATTCAGAAATATATTCAACGTGCCAATATGCATTGACATGCTGCCTCCACCTTCACAAATTAATTTTAGAAAGTAGTTCAAATTGCTAAGTTAAGTCTCAAAATTCTCCACAGATTTTTAATCTTTCACGTATTAGCTAATTTCAGCCAAACATAACAAGAAAAGGTTTTTTCATTAATACATCTGAAAATCTGGCCATGCTTTATTCTGCTATATGTTATGATGTCAGACAGCATAATACAGTTAAACTTTTTGGACTAGACGTCAATGACATCCCAGAGGTCTGCAGCTAAGAGAGTGATCTCCCTCTCTCATCAACGGATTTGATCATCTCCTAGATGACTTCCCCTCTGGTGGGAGCTGTAGAACAAGCACAGAGCTCCGAAATCATCTCTCACCTCCCTGTACCCCACCCAAACTACAGAACCTCATACCAGTACAACCTGCTCCCTGCAGAGAGGCCTTCGACAAATGACAGAAATCTGGTGCTTCACTGGGGACAACGGGGAGCATCAACAGTCAGCAGAAAGAAGCTCAGACTGGCTCCCCTCACCTCTTCCTCCCCACTGACCCAGAGAGGGGCTGTGCAGGTGACATTGTCCCACCGCTGGGAAGCATGAGGTGACAGGCAGGCAGGGGTAAGGACACGGCCACACAAGGCAGAGACAGGAGCCTTGTACATGCCACAATACAACAGGAAGCTCCGTTTTTATCTTTTTAAACATTCGGTTTCATGAGGTTTTAGAATTCCTCCATGTGCTCTACAAATAACCA